AGAAAGGTAGCCATACCATTATTAAACAATTTAAAAGAGAGCTTAAAGGAATAAGAATCGATGCACATTATAGAAAAAGTTCAAGTACATTCTCAGTGGGCACAGCCTCTTATTCTAGTTAGGAAACCAAATAATAAGTTGAGCATCTGTCTTGACACTACTGAACTAAATAAAGTGATAAAGAGGGAATTTTGTACAATTCCAACATTTGAACAAATAACTAGTAAACTTGCATGCCAAAGTGTTTAGTACTTTAGACGCAACTCAGGAGTTTTAGCAAGTACCGTTAGATGAAGAAAATGCAAATTTATGCACATTTGGTACTCCATTTGGGAGATTTAAATTTCTAAGAATACCATATGGCATAAAGTGTTTCAAACTCGTTTTAAAGAAATATTTAACACAGATGGTGCTAACACATACATCCATGATCTACTTGTCTGGGGTAAAGACAAAACTGAACATAATGTAAGACTTAAAGGGGTTATATTAATTGCACGAAAAAATAATGTACGTTTCAATTTAAATAAATGTCGATTTGGACAAATGCAGATTAACTACATAGGTCATATAATTTCAGGGGATGGCTTTAGGCCTGATACCTCTGAAATTAAACAAATTACTGAAATGCCACGTCCGGTAGATAAACAGGGTTTGCAGAGAATTTTAGGAATGCTGACGTACATCAACAAATTCATAAAGAATTTCTCAGATTGTTCTTTCCCGTAAGAACACCACTAAAAAAGATACATAGTTCATGTTAATATCAGAACATGAACAAGCTTTTGTTAATTTGAAAAAAATTCTAACTAATACGATGTGAGTGCAGACACAGTGGTGTCAGTAGATGCCTCAAGTACAGGTTTGGGTGCAGCCCTACTTCAAGGTGGGTTACCATGTGCATATGCCTCAAAGGCATTAACAGAAACACAGTGCAAGTATGCCCAAATTGAAAAAGAGCTGCTAGCCATTTGTTTCGGTTTACAGCGGTTCCATGAATTTATTTTCGTAAAAAGGTAATAGTAGAAACTGATCACCTTCTATTGATCAGTATTTTTAAAAAACCACCAAAAACCAAGCCTTGCACGCTTACAAAGAATGCTTATGCAGATACAAAAAATGACGTAGAAGTTAGATACAAACGTGGGAAGAAAATCATTATAGCAGATGCGCTCAGTAGAGCGTATATAAATGAAAATGACCAAAATGATACTGAATTTGATAAAGAAATATCTTCACATGTTTGTCTCATAGTGTCAGAAATAAATGTAACAGAAAACAAATTATAAGAGTTCAAAGATAAAACAAAACAGGATCTAGAAATAAAAAAGTTGAAAAAAATAATTTTAAATGGGTGGCCTAATAATAATTCAAAACTAAAAGAGTGTGTTAAAAAATACTGTAAGCCAACTAACTGAAAATGATGGGATAATTTACAAAGGTGGTACCAAAAAGTTTACACAAAGAAATAATAAACAGGGTACATTACAATCATATGGGTGTTAAAAGAGCTTACAATTAGCAAATAATTCAATTTTTGGCCCACTATGAACAACTAAATGAAACTAAAAATATCTGATTGCTTGATGTATCGTAAATATACCAAATCACAATTGTCAGAACCACTAACTAGCTATGCTATGAAATTCTAAAGATACCTTGGAATAAGGTTGGTGTGGATATTTTTGAGCTAAGGGGGGAAAAATAAATCTTGTTAATTGATTATTATTCTAAATACATAGAAATCAAAAGACTAGGCAATAGTACAGTAGCTTATCGCATAATTGAAAATTTAAAATCATTGTTTGCTCGCCATCGAATACCATTATGAGTGGTCTCTGATGAAGGTCCACAATGTTGTTTATATGAATTAAAACGGTTTGCAAATGAAAAGGAATTCAAACATATTATAAGCTTACCCACATATGCACAATCAAATGGCATAGCAGAGCGAAATATACAAACAGCAATGAACATTTTTAAAAAGGTACGGGATGACAAAAAGGACATCCAGTTAGCCCTACTGATGTATCGTACTATGGCTGTTGATGGTAGTCACTCACCAGCTGAAATACTTATGTCAAGTAGATTAAGAACAATACTTCCAGGTAAGAAGGAATCATATAGTCTTAAACTTGTTAATATTAAAACATATAATTCCTTTTTACAAAATAGAAAAAATCATTGTGAAAAATATTACAACTGAGGAGCCCAGTTACTAAAACCTTTATAAATAGGCTCATCTGTAGAGATCCAAGTAAAATCGAATTCAACATGGTCTCCTGCAATCATAATTGATAAGATCAGATATAAAACCTATAAAATTAAAATGCATAATGGATCAATATTAATTAGAAACAGGCGGTTCATAAAACCGTATAACGCTAAAATTAAACCAAACGTTAAAATGAAACCAAATAAAATGATACAGAAGACAAAGTTGAAATTAGGTATTACATTGACTTGGAACATAATACACAATCAGAATTACAATTTGTAAATCCTGTTGTAAACGAAAAGAATTGTAAAAATGGCACTTCCAGTGAATCCAGTGATAGTTAACCGTTTAAAGATTCAGAAAAGAATACAACATAAGTGACAAATTCAACAGATATGACTGATGTAACAGAGACACCGGACACGCACACAACCTCTAGCAATGAGAGTACTACCTAATAATGCTCAGTGTATTAATAGTAGTGATGTTATGGTAGAAGCAGACTTTGAAAAAGCATTTTTGTCTAAACAAAATGAAACTAAGACAGGTCGTAAAATAAAGCAACTTCAGACTTCCTGATTGTACTTGCTAATATTTTTTCTACTATATAGGGGATGTTAGAATATAAGTTCATAGAGCTTGAGACTCCCATGATTTTGTTTATTAGTTTTGTGTTTTTTCCTTATAAAAAGTGGGATGTTAGGATGTTAGTAACCTCGTACTTACTTACATCACAGTAGTCACAATAAGAAGAGCTCGACAGATAGTTGACAGAAGACATTAGAGGTTAGACATGTATTGGAGTGATACAATAAAGTAAATAAGTCCAAATTCCAGTTTTAATACTATCATCCATAAACTAATTACAAATACAAATACCAAACATTATAATGAAAGTGATGCTAGTGATTTAGATTAGTTTTACAAACATAATTTTTCTATTAATTTTTAAGAATTCATAAATAAAAAATTAAATCAGTAAATCCTTCTTTTGATTTTAAATTATATTTGCTTGTTAAGTATAACTCTGTACAGGTACTTTTGTATCAGCAGGCAAAAACAAATAATGATTTTAACTGACAAAAAAATTTACACTACATCTTGACCGGTATAATACTGGCTGTCTCATTTAAAAAAATATATTCTTACAATAGGTACTGTTAATTTATAAATTAATATTTTCAGAGCTAAACGATTATTTATCGTCATTAAGATTAAAGCATTGTGATTAATTCACACAAAACATTGTATTTCAGTAAGGTCCACTTGTCTGCTGATGGAACATTTTAGGTAAATTATTTTAAGTTTTTTTTATTAAAAAAACCTAATTAAATTACTTAAACGTCGTGGTTTGCGGCACAAAAAAACTACACAAAGGTGAGAATAATTAAAAAATCTTAACTAATTTACCTAACCTGTGCGGCCTGGAGCCTTAGCGGTTAGCCTCACAAAAAAATTATTCAAAAATGAGAAAAACTATAAAAAAATCCTTAACTAATTTACCTAACCTGTGTGGCCTGAAGCCATTTAAATTTTAAATTTAAATTTTTTAACATGTAAAGTAAAGTAACCCCAACTAAAAATCTAAAATGGAGGTAAGGTCACGATACCCTATATTTTATTAAAATACATTTATTGCCTTATTTATTATAATAACTGTGTTGTTTTTTTCTGTGTTTTAAGTAAGCAAGCTTCTTTGTGGATGTAATAATAATATGGAAACAAGGAAAATTGCCTGAATTTAAGAAGAGTAAATTTTTGGAAATTCACGATTATATCAAATAGCCAATAGTTCGTGTAGGGTACTGGTTGGAAACAACAATATTTAAAGATGTTTTTTTTATTGCAAATTTTGAATTTTGATTTAAAACTTTTAATACCCTTTATATCCGAGACTAAGCTCTTTAAAGGTTCATGTTCCTCAATTTATGTACCAATATACGGTTTTATCGGATTATACATTAAGTTAGAGTTTTTAAATGGGCCACCAAGTATATTTTATGATTTTTGGAATCTATGGTTCAAATTACGTATGACAGTGTTGCCAAATTTTAATTTTTCCCAAAATATTTTTTTTATGAACTGAACTGAATATTAATGTTTTAATGGTAAACATGGTGTATATTGTCAGATTGGTAATAAAATTTACCATCTAATGGCGAATTAATTCTCAATAGGTGCCATTTAAAACAAAACATGGTTTAGAAATTTATAATTTTCAATTCCAAATTATGTGTAACATGTTTTTCTAAATTTTATCCAAATTCCTTGGTAAATAAACGACCCTGGTCTGATTGTCACCCGGTATAATTATAAACAAATTTGGAAAGCTGTTCAGTTGGTGTTATTCTTTTCAATAGGTCCTTAGTTGTAAATAGCTTTAAAATGTAAAAACCAAAGGAAAAGAAGAAGAAGAAGAAGAAGAAGAAGAAGAAGAAGAAGAAGAAGAAGAAGAAGAAGAAGAAGAAGAAGAAGAAGAAGAAGAAGAAGAAGAAGAAGAAGAAGAAGAAGAAGAAGAAGAAGAAGAAGAAGAAGAAGAAGAAGAAGAAGAAGAAGAAGAAGAAGAAGAAGAAGAAGAAGAAGAAGAAGAAGAAGAAGAAGAAGAAGAAGAAGAAGAAGAATAAGAAGAAGAAGAAGAAGAAGAAGAAGAAGAATAAGCTGCCCCTGATTTGATAATAAACGGCAAATATGCATCTAATTTAATACCAATCAAATTTAGTTAAGTGCGCCAATGCTTAAATAATTATCTAACAAAAAGTAATCCAAAAGAAAATATTCTCACCAGTTCTAAGCACTTGTTCGTACACTGGCGGTTGCCCACTGCATTATTCATAAAAGAGGTGTCCATTTCCTGTGTCAAAACCGGCATCCCCTTGGGTTGCTTCTTCGACCCTTTCTTAAACTGTCCGCTCAAGAAAACTCCGCAAGTGCACGGAATCGGCTCTGATTCTTCTTGACTGCTGCCCTCGTCTTTGTTCTTGTTCCCCTTCAGTTTGTCTAACAGCGAAGGTTTGTCGGGTAGATTTGGAACGTCATTCGTTTCTTCTTCATCTTCCAATTCATCTTCGCCTTTATTATCGTCGGTTTTTTGTTCGGTTTCGATATTTTCTTCGGTTTTGGATGTTTCCGAATCAGAAATTTGTTTGCTTGTTTCCAGTTCGTCTAAAGTTTTATGACTGATGTCACTACTGATTATGGTATCAAATGGATTCGCTTTGAGTAATGAGAGTAAGGACAACATTAATAATGCAATGAACAGTAACTGAAACAAAAATATTTTCGGTTATGAATAATTCTTGTAACTAATATTAGACGACCGAATTCGAAATATAATGGAAGGCAATAAAGTACTTAAAATACAGGGTGACCGTCACCTACCTCTTTCTTATCTTTATATTTATCTTTGTCAGTTATAAGTACTCTCGAATTTTAGTCGAGAATTGTAAAATAATGTATTATGGCTTTCCATTCGGTCGTATAAGTTTTGATTTTACTTATTACAGGGTGTAATAAAATGGACAGATACTCTGGGCTCAAAAATAGGTCGCTTAGGTCTAACTTAGACCTAACTGCAAGTTGTTAGCCCTGATTTAGGACAATATTCTAGAGTAATCCATAAAAACTGTTACTGGAGTTGTCTTTAGAAAAATCACACATTTTGGATTCTTCACAATTCTTGAAATATTTAAAAAAATTTTAACTCAAAACGAAAAATAATATCAACTTGAAAATTTTGGAAAAAATCAAGCTTAATAAGGGGATGAAGCCTATTGATTCTAAAAAAAATCCGATTGAAAATGGGGTTGCTTAAACTGTGAAGAGTATAATTTAGAATGACACGCATTATACAGGGTGTTTCAGATTTAAACGAACATAGCTTAATGGGAAGTAGAGTACACTTAGCTGAGTTCAAAACACCCCATACCTAGACTTTAATCTTACTCGTTTCTGAGATACAGGGCGTTTTATGATTTTTAGATATTAACTGAATAAAATGATTTCTATGGCTAACTATAGAATTTGAAAATTTGCAAAAATATATTGTGATTTATTCGTGAACCACCCTATAACAGTAAATATTTTAAACAGTATCTTTTTATGAACATCTGACCAAAACTTATATTAAACTTATATATTGCTACATAAAGTCAATTTAGCTTCTCAGTTTGAAGAAAAAATAACGAAAATCAGCAATAATTAATTTTAAAAGCCCTGTATCTCTAAAACTGGTAAGAGTCTCGGATTTAAAATTCACACCTCATAAACAGGTGGTAAAAGTATTATATACCGTCATACATTTATTTTGTGAATTACCCTATAACTAAAAATATTTTTAATTATTCGTATGTACTATTGTATTACTAAAACATGTATTAAATATATATGCAACAAAAAATCAATCTAGCTAGTAAGTTTGAAAATAATATTTCAGAAAACTAGGCAATTTTCAACTTTAACACCCTGTATATTGAAAATTAATAGGATTGATATTTTTGGTTACTAGATTGAGTACAATAACATATCAAAGATTTGTAAAATTAACCACTACTCCACTCAACATAAGGAAAATTCAGGGTCTTTTGAATAATAAACGTCTAAGTTTCAAACCTATAGATGAAATGATAAAATTCATGACATTTTTAAAAATGTATGGGCAAAGACAATTGGAAGATAAAAATAAGAAAGGATTATAAGAAGAAAAAATTATTTTTAAAAATTTAGTTGAACAGTGTTATTTTTCTTTTATGTTTATTGAATAAAATTAATATCTAATACCTAACCCTAAATTCTAAAATTAACCAGTCTCCGATAATGTCACAATAGTAAGGTCAGTTTCTACAATTTTTTTAGGTTATCTGGCAACACTAGTGATGGATCAGACCTGCAGGAGCGCTCTCACGAGTTAGTAAATAGGTATCCTGGAGAAGCCTACGAAAACTGAATGAGCTAGTTGAAAATACACTTGGGCCCCGGGATATAATTGGGTTAAGGGTAACAATATTGAAAATAGTCTCACAAGAAAAGGGGCTCTAACACCCTTTGTGGACCTAAGTCGTTCTACGGTATCAGCAGTAATACAACATTAGGATAGATTAAAAAAAGAGAGAATTGGGTACTAGAAATATCAATATTTGACACAATCTCTTGGGATTAAGACATGCTAAGTTACTTCTGATTAAAAATAATCAGAAAAGATTGGAAGCCTATATCTGCATGAGTAAGAACAGGCTACGCATTGTAACAGAGATCCTTACTGGACATTGTCGACTCAAAGGACACCTTTAGTAAACTGAGGAGAGTAGAAGATAGTGAGTGAATATTCTGTCTGTGAGGAGGACGAAACTTCCATTCACATTCTTAGCGTAGCACTCCAGAATTCAATAGCAATATAGTTTGGAGCATACCGGATACAAGCGGGCGATCTACCTAACGTGAAACCACTCCAGATCATACACGTCCTTGAAAAGATATGAATAGAAGTGTAGTTATAGGCATCGAAACTTGTTGACAAAACCACAATAGATCTTTTAGGACACAATGCATTAATACCCCATAGCATAACATATAACATGGCATGATTGGATCCAGGTGAGTAATCTCACCATTCTTAAGATTATTTTATTATCTTCTGCTTTGTATATGTTCTTTATGATGTCACAGAAGGGTTCTAGCCCATACAGAGCATGTGATCAACTTATTATTTCAATAGCAATAAAATTATAGTTTTAAAGAACTTTACATAGTTTATGTTCACAACTTCAGAATACAAAAACCTTTTTATAAAAAAAAAAAAAAAAAAATACGGAATATCACTTACCTTTCTCATTTTTCACAAAAAGATGCTTCTTATTCAAGATTATATTACGACAACCTAAACTACTAGAGAATACGGGTCAATTAAATGTAAATTTTGCATTTTAATTATTGAAATCGCGAAATTGCCAGCAAGCCAAAACATTAAACAATAAACTATATCAAAAATTCGCAAACGTTGCATTATTCTTGTACATACAGGGCGAAATGAAAATAACAGACAATGTAAACTGTAAATTATTTATGCCAAATGGATTGAGACTTATTTGACGTCAATATTACATGTAACTTATTTTTGCATTGGACGTTATACAAATTTTTTTAACCCACGTATTTTCACCTACGTGTTAAATTAGGTTGAAAATCAAAGGAATAATCTCAACTCAACGCCTTCCACTGCCACATTGACGAATTTATTGTGGTTCAGTCCAGGCTAAAGGATATTTAATAGGGAAATGCTTACTCGTGTTATAATAGTGTGCAACATTCACAGATGGCGTTACTTTACACAAAGTTTGCTCGTTGCGTTCGTCGAGCACTGTCGAGCAGGTTCAGAGGGTGTTCAGAGCAGGTTTAGAGTAACGCAAGCGTACGCAAGTTGGTATTCAACACTTTCAACAGCCATTGCTTCATTTTGTGCAATATTTTAATTCTAATTGTTTTATTTGTTTACTGTTTTGAAGAGTTTTAGGGCTTTAAACATATACAATTATGTTAGAATAAAGTTAGTCGCAGGTAAGAAATACACATACAATTTTATTTCTTTACAAGTAAAAACTTCTGTTTGTATTTTATTTCTAAATACATTGCCAAATTTTAAGAGCATATATTAACACAAAAAAGAACCCAATTTGTAAAATAAATTTCCGAAAAAAAAATACAGATAACCGAATGTTTTCTAAGAAAAATTGTTTTTTTGACTTAACTTTTATCATTTTCTGTACAATTTTGCCAAGAGTTTTAGTTAGTAACTAGGTAGATAAAATATGTGAATATTAAGAAGATTCAAATAAATAGTGTTATTTATTTATTTTAGAAAGTACGGTTACTGCAAAGTTGAGTTCTTTTTTGTACAGAAAGATGCAAACAATAAAAACACCTGAAAGAATATGACTTCAATAGGAATCCAGAGCCAACTTGCCACAGGAACTTTCGTACAACTTCTAGTGGATACAGCCACGGGCTAACTTTCTATTTTTATTTTCATATTTCTTTATGATTATGTACTCGTGTAATTCGTGTAATTTTAATTTTAATAAAAAATATATGATTATAATCGTGTTTTACTTTATAATAAGATGTATTTTTTGTTTCACAAATCCAAAATTATAATTTTTCGTTTTCTTTTTAACTTAAAATATTTCAAACATAACCCAATGAATTATATCCATTTAAGTATATCGAGTAAAGAATAAAATGTTTAAATTATTTTAAGTGAATAAACAACAAAAAATTATCATTTTGAAAAACTTATTGTTGGTTTATTAGAAAGGTCGAGTTTGAAAAACCCGCGCTCATTGACCCCTAATACCATCTATATAATAAATCATGAACAATTTATATTTTACATGCACATTGTATAATCTATCAAAAGGCCTATTGCTCGTGTACTAAGTTAAGAGTAAGTTAAGGGTAAGTTAAGAGTAAGTTAAGAGTAAGTTAAGAGTAAGAGTAAGTTAAGAGTAAGTTAAGAGTAAGTTAAGAGTAAGTTAAGAGTAAGTTAAGAGTAAGTTAAGAGTAAGTTAAGAGTAAGTTAAGAGTAAGTTAAGAGTAAGTTAAGAGTAAGTTAAGAGTAAGTTAAGAGTAAGTTAAGAGTAAGTTAAGAGTAAGTTAAGAGTAAGTTAAGAGTAAGTTAAGAGTAAGTTAAGAGTAAGCTAAGAGTAAGCTAAGAGTAAGTTAAGAGTAAGTTAAGAGTAAGTTAAGAGTTAGTTAAGAGTAAATTAAGAGTAAGTTAAAAGTAAGTTAGTTAAAAGTAAGAGTAAGTTAAAAGTAAGTAAGTTAAAAGTAAGAGTAAGTTAAGTTAAGAGTAAGAGTAAGTTAAGAGTAAGTTAAAAGTAAGTTAAGAGTAAGTTAAGAGTAAGTTAAGAGTAAGTTAAGAGTAAGTTAAGAGTAAGTTAAGAGTAAGTTAAGAGTAAGTTAAGAGTAAGTTAAGAGTAAGTTAAGAGTAAGTTAAGAGTAAGTTAAGAGTAAGTTAAGAGTAAGTTAAGAGTAAGTTAAGAGTAAGTTAAGAGTAAGTTAAGAGTAAGTTAAGAGTAAGTTAAGAGTAAGTTAAGAGTAAGTTAAGAGTAAGTTAAGAGTAAGATAAGAGTAAGTTAAGAGTAAGTTAAGAGTAAGTTAAGAGTAAGTTAAGAGTAAGTTAAGAGTAAGTTAAGAGTAAGTTAAGAGTAACTTAAGAGTAAGGTAAGTTAAGTTAAGAGTAAGTTAAGAGTAAATTAGGTGTACCGGACCTCTCGCGAAAAGCAAAAGTGTGGGGATTTTCTAATATAAAATTGTATTTATAGGCGCGTCACTGGGAATATTTCGTTATGTGTCTCGAGAATATTAATAGCTTTAAATTTTTGCAAACGATGAGGCAGCATTCTACTGAGACATTTAATAACACTTCTAGATATTTATTAAAACAAAACGCAGAAAATTTTCATAGATTTAATACAGAATGGCTCGTATATGTTTTTTTAAATTCCTTTTAAAAATGTTCAAAATAAATACTTCTCGAAGTTTTACAAAAAAATCAAGGTTTATCCACCCTAATTTTTGTTATTATTGGAATTTCTTGCTTTTTCTTTTAAAAATTGAACTGAGAATAAAGAAGTATTAGAAAATTTCAAGGTGTTCAGTTTGCTCTTAATTTTTTGATTCTTCGTTTTTTAATTTCTAATGGGGGGCTATGGGAGATGAAAATTCTTATCATTTATAAGCCTTTTATTCCAAATATATACTAAAATGGGAATATCTAAAGGCAATGGCCCCCTTGGAAATTCGTCTTGGAGCCGCCCTTGAATTGCGAACGATATTGTACCCCGAAATTTGATTGTTTATAAGGTTTCTAACACTTTATTTTTAATGATTTTTACTGTTACCTTTCCTTTTAGCTCGATGATGACCCCTGGTCCCCCTGGGTTGAAACCAATAGCCGTTTCATAGTATTTGTATATTAATAAAGTTTATGTGGTACATATTTTGAGTATTAAATTCATTCATTTTTATTTGTTAAAAACTGCTTTGTAAATTTCGAATATTATGTCAAGAAGTATACCTAATAAGACTCATGTACTATTATTAGTTGTCGATCTGTGAGTTTTAGCCATGTTCCCATCGTTGCGTCGCGTCGCAACCATGCATAAAACCAAGTTTAATAATTTCCGGCAGAATCTATATCAGAGATTTTACATCCACTCTGATTCAGCAAGTGGTTGAACTGGTATGTCGTGTATCTATTTATTGAGGTTTGTCTAGTTCGAAGCGGTGGCTATAGAGATAATTCTAATAGATGATTTTTTCCTAATTTGGGAGGCAACCGTCCATCAATTACCGATATTGTATTAAGGCTGTTCTACCACTTTCCGTTCGGCCGAAGTTAAGAGATACCACATCCATTTCATAGAATATCTCTGTACGCACCCCTTTCTTTGTTTATGTAAAGACAATTGAACGTGAACTAATTATATCTTTCTCCGTTCAGTCTAATGGGACGCCTATCTTTCTCGGTATTCATCTCCACCTGAAACGTGGACTGGCCAAATTTGTCGGTATATTGTAACTATTGTGTTGATAGTAATTTCTTTGCGGAGAGTATTTTTTTATTTACTACTTCGACGACGGATTCGAAAGTTTTCTTTCTTCATCTAGTGGAATTATTTTTTAAATAAATGATTAACTACATTTAAATTGGTTTTATTTATATTCTAAGGTAAAATAGTAAAGGAATTTTATATATATAATTGTTGATCGTATTTTTTGTAAATATAAATTATTGTTGTTATTATTACTAATATTTGGTATCCGCGCGAAAGCTTTGAATGGTTATATCTATGGTATATTTATAGTGTAGACGAAAAATTTTTTGAAAACTATTTTATCGTACGCATGTATATTTTATTGTACATAATACATATTTGCTGCAAGAACTTCATGTCATAAAAATGTTGTTTTTACAGAATGCTAATTTTCAAGAATATCGGCATAATTCAAAAATTATTTCATCATCAAAATTGAAACGGTATGTTCTATATACAGAAACAATGACACTTTCGTAGTTATGGTGGTATTCGCTTGACGGCGCTACTATAATTGACATTTTCCAAGTTTGTGTAATAATTCCAGAGATGATGATTTATGCATACTACTTTGCGGACGTTTGTTCTTCCTTAGTGTCTTTCTAAGCAAATATTTGGTAAACACTGCTGTCTCCATCGCCAATGATTTTTACATATTTTAATTTGTGCATTTTTATACTATTACGGAATCCTTCTAAAATTAGTTCCGATTCCATAGAAGTCGACGAACTATCCCAATTTTTTGAACACTTATGTGTTGCAGCTTTTATGTTTTTAGTTAAAGCTTGAGCACAGATAGGACAATACTTACTTTTAAACGAAACATAAAAAACCTTTCCAGATTTCGCCCCAATAATGCAAGCCTGTCAAAAATAAGTGCATTTAAAATTTAACCCTTTATATGTTATGTCAAATATAAAAATGTTTCATGGCTTACTTTAGAAACATTGTTTTTGGATCACACCTTATAATATTAGAATATAAACTTACTCTTTATATGACCGCTTAGACCATGCACCTTCAACAATTACTACAATTAGACCATTTCCTTATTCATCTACTTCTCCAATATCTTTTGTTAATTGCAATTCTTTCAGTCCTGCTTGTGCCATGAGAATATAGTTCTCTTTTTTATTAAAATAAATAGCTGCAGTTTTACACCGAACATTATATCCTCCTTTTATTATGCTGCTTCAAAAAGACATTGTGGAGTGTTAGTACGTTAGGATTTGAAATTAGCAAAATAATAAAGGTTACTTTTATAATATTTCCAATGAATTAAAAATTAATATAATCTGTTCTTAGGAATATTTTAAAAATTGTCCATTATTTTCAACTCAACAAAATATTCATGAATTCCGATATAATTTGGAAATTAATCAATAAAAATCATATTCGCATATCAATCAAATTATATATTTTTTTC